TAGCACCAAGCAGCCATTCTAACATAACCGAGAATCTGTGGGAGGGAAGCAAAGCCATATGGGTAGGGATTTAGGATATTGTGAAATCAGTTCTTTGAATAAGTACTTAAGCAAAGATTCAAGACTTTATAACAAGAGTCCTGAAGCAAACATAAGACCTCCAGACATCCCAGCAGAGGAATAAGTGGGATGGGAGCCACATGTCTAAGCCAATCAGAAAAGGACCCAGAGAGAACTAACTTAGAAAGTCTGACTAGTCTCTCTGACCCAGCTGGTTAATTGAGGCTAGTACTGAGGTTAAGTGTGTGGGCTCAGGAGTTAGGTCATCACGTTTATAAGCTGAATCTACCATGAAGTAACTGTGTGAGCTTGTCAGTCATATTATCTGTAAAATAAGAATAATGATAGCACACCTCATGTAGAGCTCTTAGCAAAGTTTCTGGATCCAAGTAAATTCCTCATAAATGTTAGCTGTACAAATACAAATGCAATTATATTATTAGTTCCATAGTGAAATGAGACATATCAGAATCCCCTTGGGATTTTTTATGGCTTTTAGTGTTTTAGTGTACTTAGTGAACTGTGTTTTGTTCCCAGTACAAAATGGGGATTTAAGAATCCCCCACCCATCCATTTATATTCTTCATAGAGTTTTTTTAAAAAAATATTTTTAATGTTTATTTACTTTTGAGAGAGAGAGAGAGAAAGTGTGAGCAGGAGAGAGGTAGAGAGAGGGAAACACAGAATCTGAAGCAAGCTCCAGGTTCTGAGCTGTCAGCATAGAGCCTAACGTGGGGCTTGGAGTCATGAACTGTGAGATCATGCCCTGAGCCAAAGTCAGTGGACCAACTGACTAGGCCACCCAGGAGCCCCTCTTCATAGTGTTTTAAAGCAGAGAATCCTTAGGGTGCTATTCTACATTGAAGCTAGTTCAGGTGGACCCCGCCTGATTATTGGACTGATCAAGGTGAACACTAGTCGTATAAGCAGCCCCCTTACAGAATGTGGGCTTAACTAAGTCTGTTTTTGTCTGAATTTGCTACTAGTTAATTTAGTTTGTACCTTGTATATGCTTCTTATGTGTGATGGGGCAACATCTGAGGATACAGTGATGCTACTATCTTCTTTTACTTGTTGAGGCCAGGTATGGGACAAAGTCAAGAGTTAGGGAGCAGAAAGTCTTTGAAAGCCAGGTTGACTTTTATTCTAAGAGCAACAAGGTGTCATTGATGGGTTTTAAACAGGGGAGTGATGTGGTCCAATTTACATTTAAAAATGTACTTCTGGCTGCTGTGTGGGGACTAGATTGTTGGAGGTGGTTGCAGTATTCCACATGAAGGAGGGCAGTGGCTTGGATTGCAAGGGAAACAATAGAGAGGGGCAGAGAGATGTCAATGCATTTGCGTGTGTTTTGAAGGTAGAGTTGACAGGATTTGCTTATAGGCTGAATGTGTGGAGTGAAGGAAGAATAGGTGCAAGGTAAGCTCTTAGGTTTTTGGCATGAGCAACTGGGTGAATGATGGTGCATTTTACCAAGATGAGGGTTTGGGAAAGGAGCAAAGTATGTTTTGATAGGGATGGGGGGTGTTGTGGGAAGAGGTGTGTTCTGAAATATCTGTGTGGAGTTTGATATATCTATTAGATGCACAAGAAAGAACATGCCTTCCACTTTTGGGACTATCATCACACTGGCATATTCTAAGTTGAGTCAGCAACCATATGTGGATGAAGGGATGAATGAATGAAGTAGATGGTGGCCTACTCTGTCACTGTATCTTCACTATTGTCAGATGCTGCCTCATCATCACATGTGGGGAGCACAGAAAGACTAATTCAAAAAGTAACACATTCAGACAAAAATAGGCTTAGGTAAGTCTGCATTTGTTAAGGACTACTATTTGCTTTTGTTCCCCACAAGTATTAATTTGAGTATATAAAGTCTGGAATCCTGGGGTGAGGTGAGATTTGCTGAGAAAGATTTGGAAATTGTGGGATATAGATGTTTTTTAAAGCCACAGGATGCCTTGAGGTCTCTTAGGAAGAACATATCAATAGAGAAAGGAATGGGATCTGTATTAGTGCCCAGTTGAGGCTCTAACAAATTACTGCAAAAGCAGTGGCTTAAAACAACAACACAAATTTATTATTATATTTAAAAATTTTTTTAAAATATTTTTTTCTTTTTTTTGAAAGAGAGTACATGTGTGCAAGTTGGGGAAGGGTAGAGGGAGTCTCAAGCAGGCTACATACCCAGTGCAGATCCTGACACAGGGCTTGATCTCACAACTGTGAGACCACGACCTGAGCTGAAATCAAGAGTTGACTTGAGCCACTCATGTGCGCCCCACAAGTTTATTATTTTATACTTCTAGAGGTCAGATGTCCAAAATGGGCCTTACTGGGCTGAAATCAAGGTGTTGACAGAGCTGAGTTCTGTTTGGAGACTCTAGGGCAGAATCTGTCTTTTCACCTTTTCTACTTTCTGGAGGTTACCTGCATTTATTGGTTTGTGGCCCCTTCTTCAGTGTTTATAGTGTATCACCCAGTCCCTGTTTCCATCACCATAACTTTTTCTGACTCTGACTTTCCTGCCACCCTCTTTCTGTTATAAAGATCCTTGTGATTTCATTGGGCCCACCTGGATAATCCAGGATAATCTGGGATCCAGGAACCAAGATCCTTAATTATACCTGCAAAGTCGCTTTTGCTATGTAAGGTAGAATATTCACATAATCTGAGGATTAGGATGCAAGCAACTTTGGAGACCATTATTTTGCCTACCAAAGAGCCCAAACTGATCCCTGGAGTGGTCTGAGGGGGCTGAAAAGAGAAGATCCAGCAAAGGAGGAAAGGGAGGAAGGGAGAGTGAGAGAAGAGGAAAACCAGGAAAATGTAGTGTGTAAGAAGCCCAGGGCAGGCAGTTTTAAGAAAGGGAATATTGGGGCACCTGGGTGGTTCTGTTGGTTAAGTGTTGGACTTCAGCTCAGGTCATGATTTCGTTGTTCATGAGTTCGAGCCCTGCATCAGGCTGTGAGCTGTCAGCACAGAATCTGAGCCTGCTTCAGATTCTGTGTCTCCCTTTCTCTCTGCTCTCCCCCATTCCTGCTCTGTCTCTCTCAAAAACGAATAAGCATTAAAAAAGAGGGAATATAATTCTATCAGTTAGCTTTGGGTTTGGCTGTAGATAATAGGAAACCCTGTTACAGTGGTTTAACCAAAGAAGGGCTTTAACTTTTGTCCTGTAACAGTAAGTCTAGAAGAAGCTATCCTTGGCTGGGGTACTAGTGTAAGGTACCTATGTCTTCCTCCTCTGCTGCGTTTAGTGACTGACTTCCTTTATCACGTTTCCAAGATGGTGGCTACATCTCTAGGGTCAGAAGAATGGGAAACGGTACAGAGCAAAGGACAAAGGGTAAAAGGAGAATGACTGCTGAGTCTGGTTCCTTTTTGTAAAGCTTCCTCAGAAGCTCTTTCCCAATCACTTCAGCATACATTTCGTTAGCCAGGTTACATGGCCATCTCTAGAAGCATAAGAGGAGTCTGTTGGTCAGGAAAGGGAAGAATGGATATTAGGCAGGCAGTTAATATTGTCTGCTGCTGTAATACAGTATTTGTTTATCATAGAATTTTTATGATGGATAAGGCATCAAGAAGTCTTTATTCAAGATCACTTCTTCCAAGAAGGTTGGGCTTTAGAAATAGACTTAACTCTTTTTAAAAAGAATTTTGATGATTGGTGTTCTATAGCCTTCATAGAAACTCTTGTAGCACTTGATTTATACACTTAAGAAGCTTTTTCCTTCTGTCTCAGAATTTCCTCTCAGATGTGATTTAATTCTATTTCTTTTTGTTCAATCTTCTGGAGAGATGGAGTAACACCAGTCAGCATCAATCAATTATCTGGGCCCTTGAAATAGTTTAAACTAGCAATCCTCCAATAAATTAATGGGAAAAAGGCATTGGGAGATGAAATATAGGTGTAATTCTGTTAGAACTTATTGAGGGAATTAGTGAAATACAAAGTGAGGAAAAGTGCACTCAATTTTTATTGGGAAAGAGCTGGTTGAATGAGTTTTCATACAAATTGAAGGGTGTGTTATATATGGTTTTTATTGATGAGGAAGGAAATTTGAACACTTATGAAAACTGGAAATGTAATAAATATTTTAAAAGACTACAGACAGGTGACTGCAAGGTGAGAGAAAATGGTTGGCTGTGTTGAAGTGTCCCCCACAGAAGGAGTGAGAGAAGACAGAACGGCACTTCAGTGAAGGCATTTCTGTGCCTGAATTAAGCAAAGTTGCCAGTGCCAGTCTCTTCTGACAGCTGGTGTTTTTTTTGGGTTGGTGGTTTTATCTCTTACTTGCTCTCATTGGCAGAGTGAAGGCTAGTTTGGGCAACCATTATAAAAGAGAAACATTTTAAAATGTCATCTTTTGTTGAATTTCTCAAGTATGCCTTAAAAGGTGGAAATGTCCTTTAAAGTTGTTTTCTTTTTTTTTTTTTTTTTTTTTCTCCTTTTACATGCTATCTTTGGCCTATCCACCAGGCTGGAAAATTGCTGTTCTCTCCTTCCCTCACCACTAGTGATCCAGGCTTAAATTTTGTAACTCTTCAGATGTTATTAAAGGGTCCACAATCCCAGAAATTCTGTCTAGTCAGTATGTGCTACTCTTCTTCACCCCCAACACACACACACACACACGCTGTAGAAAGCTGGTTACATTCATCTTGAGTCTAAACCCCCATGTAACACACATACACACTCTCACTTTCCTGTCAGGATGAAGTCGAGTGTAACTTTGCCAGATAAACTGGCTATTGTCATTAATGAGATTTGCTCACAGTAGATCCTAACTAGAATGCCAATGAATATTAGATACTTTGATTTCTGATTGATTTGATAACAGAAACCAAACCCTTGAGTATTTGAAAATGTAAAAAGGCTTTAACGTAAGCATTCTATAGACTCTCATCACTGATCATATCTTCATGGCCAGAAAAGGTGGTGTGTGAGTTGGTGTTGAAGAAGTCAAGAGGAAAGGGAAAAAAAGAGCATTTCAAGCTAAGGGCACAGTGTCAGCACTGGTAGCAAGGTAAGACATTGTATTGCATACACAATAAATAGCAAATAATCTGGCAAGGCTAGTGCACAGAGTTTGGGTAATATTGAGATGGAACATAAACTAGGAGATATATATTAGAACCAGATTTTGGAAGGCCTTGCATGTCAGAGTAAGGGGTTGAATTTTATTCATTAGGTAAGATGATTTATAATGATGGAACTGATCTGACCTATGCATTAGGAAGATAATTTATAAAATAGTAAAGGTAATTTTAGTGTACAGAATTCTCATGTGTACAGAGTTCTAGAGTTTACATAGCTTTTCTACCTACTTTAAAACCATTTTATCTTATAGAATGAAGTAAATAAAGCCCTACATGAGGTTGGGAATTCATGTCATACAGAATTTGTTTGAAATTGATGGAACTGCCCACTATTTGGAGAGTTCTATGTAGAAAGGGTATAGATTTGTTCTGTATTGTCTCTGTATGCAAGGCATAAAGCGGAGAAAATAATTCAACTCCTCTAGAAAGTCTTTAAAAGTTAATAAGATGGAAAACACAATTAAATAAGGAACAACTTAGAAAGCACAAAAAATGATCTCTCAAAGACAGTCATTCTTAGAAATCTGGTATATTGTCCTCCATGTTCTTCTGGCACATTTTATTCATCTGTCTATCCATTCGCTCGCTTATACAACAAATATTTACAGATATTATGGTAGATAATATAGATACAAGATAAATAAGATAGACATGGTTCCTGTTCTTATGGGGTTTGTGGTTACATTTATTCTTTTTACAAAGTTATAATTGTATATTCACATCCTGATTACTCACATTAACGATTTAAATGATCACATGACATGCACTTGCCATGCCATTATAGATGCATCACCTGTAAATATTTTACCTTGTGCATATGCCATATTTTTTCCTACTGTTAAACATTTAGATGGATCCCAGTGTTTTTGCTGTTGTAAACAATTTTAGTAAACAAATGCCTATTTCCCCCCACATTTTAGATAATTTTTTTAGAAGAGATTTCTGTAAGAATTATAGAGCCAAAGGAAATAAACATTGAGGCATTTGACAGTAGTTATTGCTTAGCAAACAGTGCCCACATTTATTTTCTATACAGCAGTATAAGAATCAGTTCATCTTATGGCAACCTCACCACATTGGTCATTACTCTGAAAAAATTAATTTGGCATGAAAAAAGTAGCCAATATCTTTCATCTTCATTAGAGAAGACTATGAGATGACTCATTCCAGCTGTCAGAAAATGCAAGGTGATACCTTGTGCTTTTGTGAATGCCTTGTGACTGGAGGTGTGCAGTCCCAACTACTCCGACATGTGATCTTCCATTGAGAATCACTCTAGAGTCTCAGTGATTGCCATGGCATTTTGATTCTCTTCTATGACGGTGGTCCAACGTGATCATGAATGAAAATGTGCTATTTTGCTGGTGATGGAACGAATGTCAATGGATAGGGAAACGTGGAGGACATGTGAAAAGAAGAAACTTTAAATAATCCAAATAGGATAGAATTAGAAGTAGTCAATAGGTTTGCTTATGAGTTAGTGAAAGGAGGAAACACCACAAAGAGAAACAGAAGCACCTACAGAAGCAGAAAGGAAGGAAACCAAATGCTCAGCAGTTCCAAGAGACAGAACAGGTCACCAGGGGTTCGATACAGATATGCCACAAGTACTAATTGCTTTGTTACAAGAGAAATGGCCTAAAAATATGTGAACGAGGCAGGGCCCTAGAGGTACTAATGGCAGTGGAAATGGTTGCCATGACAACGGCAAGGAAAAGTCAACCAAAGGAATTACTAATACATATGAGTGTAAATGTGTCTGACATTGAATAATGTGAGCTGATTCCTTGGCAGATTCCAACACTATTTTTGAACCAAAAAAAAAAAAAGGTTTAAGCATTTATTACATGCAGTTTTCATTGTATGGATGCATGGTAAGGGTAACTAATTTTTTTCTGAGAGTTGGGCTTTGATTTAAAAATAGCTTTTATTATTAGGGGTGCCTGGCTGACTCAGTTGGTAAAGCATGCAACTTTTGATCTCAGGGTTGTGAGTTTGAGTCCCACACTGGGTGTTCAAATTGCTTAAAAAGAAATTCTTTAAAAATAAAATAAAATAAAATAGATTTTATATTTAGAATATTATAGGAACATTAAAGTGTATTTTCAAAAGAAAAAAGAAATTGCTTATCACCCTCTATCAATATTACAGCTTGCTTTTTCTTCTCATCTAACTGCATTATTATGTTTCTGTAAGCTTAGTATTCTCACAGTTTTGCATTTTGCTTTTATCATTAAATCTCAAGTCTAAAGCATTTTCCATATTTTAAAATCATCTTCATAATTGACAATTAACATTTTTACCCAGTAGTTCATCAGTTGCATTGTATCATTTACTCAGTCATTCACCTATTGGAAGGGTTTATGTATTATTCACAAGTTGTGTTATAAGCAATGCAGAGGAAATAGGTAGGGTTCAGATTAATGTTATGACGTGCTTTTTTCAGCATTACATAGAATTGAGCTTGTGTTTAGGCCATGGTGCATTACAATACACAAATATCTGCTAGCTGGAGGGTGGGAGGGGTCAGTAATTCTTGATTATCAGGTAGTGCCAACAATTAATAGGATAGGGACGAATGCTTTTCTCATTATGCCTCATATTGCTTTATAAGGCACATCTGCTCCTGGGCTCTACTGAAACCCCTCATGCTTTTTTGAAAGACCATTTCTTACCCCAAATGAATCTGTCAATAATAATTATTATGGTAAAAGTAAAAAACCCAGCTAACATGACTGAAACAAGTCTGCAGTAAAGAAAAGTAGCTGTGTACCACAGGATGACAATAATCTCTTGAATTCATGTTAAATCAGGTGTCTTTTCCATCCAGTATTGGAAGGGCTTCTGCTTGGCCTCATGTACTGTACCATTCATCTTGTTTTTTGTACTACTGGCTCAGAATGACTGTCAGTGTTTCAGGTTGTTAATAGGGTTGTTTGCTTCCATGAGGATGCATTCTGAATATATGACTATTCTGTCAGCCTGCATGATTAACACATCAAAGGGCAGCCCCATAAGTCACTTGTAGAGGATCTGCTTGAACTTGGAAAATTCAGTGCAAGCTTAATGCCCCTGATGATGAGTTGATGACAGATTTCAAGTGGAGACGATTTTTACCAAAACTACAGTTTCGATGACCATACAGTTACTAAAGAGTAATACTGTTTCAAATCAACTAAAAGCTGTTGGTTTTGTGTAATTGTGGTTAAAAGTACTTAATAAAGAATAATAAATTATCATTTTGCAATCCAATAGGCTATTTGGCTAGAAGGTAGAATAGAAGGATTTGAGGAAGGAAAGGAATAAACAAAAAGGGGTTGAGAGAATGAGATAAAAATAGGAAGGCCAGAAAGAAATAGGATTAATCCCAATCATCAGACACACTTGGGAAATTTTTTAGATACTTAGAGTTGTTAATAAACTACTTGGTCAGAGGACTGTGTTGGGCTTCTGTGTCCAGAGATGCCTTTGGAGCAGCATTTGAGAATCAGACTAAATATCTGCTGCTTTCCTTAGAAGGGGAAAAGTTCTTGGTTTCTTTTTCCCAAATCAGAAAGGACTCATAAGAACAGTTTGTTTTTTTGTGTTGAGTATATTCCTAATGTCTTTGCAAGGAAGTGTCAATCCCAAAGAAAAGGGGATTCTACTTCTCATTGCAAGAGGAAAAAGGGTGTAAAGGAACCCCAGATATCTCAGAGGAAACATTGGGAGGGAGGAGTGTTAGAGCAGTGGCCTTCAAACTGTGGCTCCAACTCGCAAGATCAAACACATTTTACATGGTGACTCAGTAGGGTGTGCATAAGCACACAACACTAGACAAATGGTTTTTGAAACAGTGTTTATCCTCACTGATCTCTTTGCATCAAACATCACCACTAGTCTACTGACAAGATGATGTGTGTTAATTTACCAGATTTGATCCTCATGATAACCCTCAGCCGGTATTATGTTGTAGTTTTCTGAATGAGGAAATAGGGTTCCAGGAAGTGAAATCACTGGCCCATGTCCACATGGCAGTTAAGGGGAGGAACTGAGATATGCACTTGTATCTGACTGATCAGAGCTGAGCCATTCAACACTGTGCTTTGTGGCCTTTCCCCAGGAAGTACTGAAAATTGGTCCTGACTTTCTTAGCAACCAAAGAAAGGAGAAAAAGGTGATTGGTTAGAAGAACTGTAATATCTCAGGAACTGGCTCTGAAACCCAGGCTTTCAGTATGGCAGCGGTAGAGTCCTGGGATTCAAAGCATGGGCTCCATCGGTTAGAGTGCCTAGTTTGATGGTTGCTACTCCACACTGACCAGCTGTTATAGCTTGGGCAAATTAAAACTCTCTAGACATTACTTACTTCATTTATAAAGTATTAATATTAACAGTAGACTCCATGTAGGTTTTCTGTAAAGGTTAAAAGAGAGGATCCATGGAAGTATTCAATATGGTCTTGAAAACAGATTTGGTATTCCATGAACGTTAGTTGTTACCATGGACATTGGGAAGGTGCATGAGCATGTTAGCAACCCCTTCATTTAAAGCCAGACCCCTTGGGCCTATAACTCAGTAACTTTGTTTATGGTGCTCCAAATCCTACTGAGAAGCAAAATGTATTATTTGGACCAATTAGGGCTAGATGGAATCTCATAATAAACATATGCTAATCATGCAAAGACCCCTAAGCAGTTACTGAAATGATGGGGACAAAATTGCTTCTAGATCATTACTTTCATTATTGCTCTTATAACTCTGACTAAATATAGTCATGAGTTCTCTTGTTGATAGTCCCATCTATTGGAATTAGTGGCTTCAGTTCAGTTTTCATTATCCAGGTCTCTCAATCACAAAATCATAGAGTCCAGTATTTGAAACTCACATTCTAAAATGAATGGAGTAAACTTAGGAAGCCTGGGAGAAACTTAGAATCCTCACTGTAA